ATTTCACAAAAAAACCAACTAGTTTTGTATATTTAAATTATTTTATATTTATTTTATTCTATATTTTTAAAACACATATCTCAAAACAAATATTAACAAACAATCTCTAACTAATTTTCAGTATGCAATCTGAACCTCAAATGGCATATTATGACTATAAATTTTTAATCATTAGCTAGGGTAAACTCTTACCAAGTGTTACACTATGAAATGGCTCCTCAAAATAGAAAGGCTAGCCTAAAGTTTCTTTTACAATCAATCCACCTAATCTATATGCTTAAAGCTTCTTCTAATTCCCATTTATTTTTGCCTCCTATCATTATATGAGGAAGGTTGAAATTCTATATTATTTGTTGTGTATGGGTTAACCTAATGCATGATTTATTTCTCTTTCTTTCCCAAAATACATTGTATCCACTCTCAACTCAACTATTTGTGGCTGCCACATTGAAAACCCTTAGGAAATTAAAATGGATTCTATTCCCAACATTTTGAACTCAATAAAAATTATATTTGAAGGACAATGAGATTTACTGATGAAATTTTTTGTCAAAATATCTTATTAAATATATATTAAAATGGGATTGATTTTATTACTCAACATATAGTTGAAAATTAACCGACGGAAAGCCACCGGAAAATTCGCAGGTAATTGGTGATTTTCCTGTAGTGATATCCTATGAATTTTTTTATGATAGTAATTTATAAAAATCAAATCTGAACTTAGTTCGGATTAATTTTATCTTTTACTTTTATATTTTATTTAAAAATATATTTATTTATTATTATTCTTTATATTCAAAAATAAATAAATTGTTTATAAAAAGAATCAAAATAAGTGTTTATTTATGAGCTTTATATAAAGGTGGTTGTATAGTTGTTGTGAGGAAAATAGTTTTTTAGAAAGTTATTATAAAAAGCAACTTCTTAGCACCAAGAAATTTTAAATAGTGGACAAATAAAAAGTATTTTTGTCATCTCAAAAAGAAAGCAGTAAAAAATTTGTTATAAGAACTAAGCCTAAATTTTAAGTTATTTTAAGTCTTTATGAAATAATTATCACAATTAGCCTCCGACATCATCATTATCAGCCACCGCAATTATGGGCTGGCTGATCGTCATCGCTACTTCACCAATCACCACTGCCATCACTGTATAAATCAATTTATTTGGAATTTAATAAAATTAAAAATAACATATTTTCAAGATACTAAATTATATATCATATCAAAATATAGTAAATAAAATATAATATAAATATAAATAAAAAAATAAAAAATAAACATTTCAAACATCCTACAATTTTTTTCTTGACATTTTAACTTGGATTTTTTAATTGCTATATTAATTTTAATTTTAGTTATATTAAATAATAATACACAAAATTCGAAATTAAAAATGTACATAAAAATCATTATCATTCCATATAAAAATTTAAAAATAAAGTTATTATGGTAAAATATTTTTCCTTTCCAAATAAGTCATATTTACATTTTTGGCCAAATAAACCGAACGAAAATGTTCCATCGGAAAACCTTCATTGAAAAAAGCAATTATGAAAAAGACAGAAAGTGGGGTCCACAATGGTACATTTTGGCGGGTAGTTCACGGAGTTTTGCGGCTGGTATAGATTCCATGATCCATACGGGCAGCTGGCGTGGCGTGGGCCCCATGACATGTGTGTCAGTGTGGGGCCAGCCGGCATCACACAAGTGGACGCTCGGAAAAACAAGCCGTCACCTTAAAAGTATTTTGTGTTGGTTTTGTTGGTGTGTTGTCTTGTTAGGATTCTTATGAAGCATATAGTTTATATTAATTAATTTTATGCAGCTCATCTTGATAGTTTAGTTAAAAATTTTAACTACTAACTAAGATAGTTAATTAATTTTAAATTTATGTATAAATTTATTTAATCAATCTAAATATTATATACATATTAATTAATTTTTTATTAATTTGTAATAATATAATATTCAATTATAATTAGAAGAAAAAAATTTGATAGATTAAGAATATTCAAATCAAATGATATTTTTGGGGTGTCAAAATGGGTGGATTGGTTGGGTTTCGATCTGATCTAAAATTGGTCTGATTCGAATTCAGTCAACTTAAATCTGACATATTTAATAAACTAGTCAAAAATACCAACTCGAACCTAGCCAATTGAAACTCAAATGACGCTAACCCACTCATGAACTAGTTTTCGTTAAAAAATAAATTCTTATAACTTAACAAAAAATTACTTATTAACTATAAAGTTTAATTTATTTGATAAAAAATAAGAAGATTGTACCCATATATATAAAAACATTAAGGAAAAAAATATATTAAACGGTTCACTTTCGGGTCAAATAAGAATTAAGTTGCAGATCAACCAGAATCAACCCATTTATTAAATATGTAATAAAATCCAACTCGTTTATTAGACTATTAACTTGAACCCAAATTTTTCTAGTCAAGTTCAAAACAAATTGGTGAGTCAAGTTATTTAATGACACCCATAATTTTTTTTATAAATATAAAATGACATTTAGAATTGTATGGTAAATTTAATTTTTTAAAAGAGTTATTATTTGGTAATAATTGTTATTGCTAAAGATACTATAAGCCATTTAATTTTTTAATGATTTAATTAATAGTCAAATCTTCATGTAAGTAATCAAATTTGATCCAAAAATTCTTTTTAAATTATATATCAATATTAATAATATTGATCATGTATTTAAAAATAATGATATTAAAGATAAATTATGGAGAATGTATATTTTCACAGAAACACAAACACGTGCTATATATATATAATTTTCAAAGGTTTATGACAATATTAACTGGTCTTTTATTTATAGCATTATGAAGCTTTTTTATTTTAATGGTACTAATATTGCTCCTATTAGTAATATTATTGAAAATATTTGATTTTCTATTATTATTAATGATAGAGCTCAAGGATTCTTTAAAGCTTGTGAAGGTTTTAGATAGGGTGATCCTTTATCCCCTGCTATTTATATCATTGCTACATAATATCTTTCTAGAGGCTTTCATAATTTTTTTCTAAGTTTAAAAGCTTGACATATATCAATAGTTGTATGAATATCTCTCATTTCTATTTTGCTAATGATATTATTATCTTTAATAATGATTCTAGTAAGAATGTTAAAAAGTTTTAACATTTTACTATAGATTTTGAAATGGAAATTGGTCATCATTTTAACTAAAAAATATATTTTATTCCTTTCAATGGTATAAATCTAGCTAGGAAAAGAACTCTATCATCCATTTTATTAGTTTCACCAAGCATTCCATTAATATTTATTATTTAGGGACTCCTTTTTGCAAAGGTCAAAAAAAAAAATCTTTCAATTTGATAAAATTTTCTAGAATAATCAAACAAAGCTATTTGCTTAGGAATTCAAAATACTTTCTAGGGTTGGTAGATTTGTGTTGATTAAAATTGCATTTGATCTATGCTCATTTACTTATTCCAAACTATTAACCCCTATTTGGAAGTTTGCAATAGGCTAGATAAAATTATTAATAGATTTTTTTTTCAGATTCCTCTCAAGATAATAGAAAGATTCATTTGAGGGCTTGGAGCTCTTATATTGATCCTTTTAGTGAGGGCGGTGTGGGTTGTAAATCCATTAATGATATGGTCAAATATTTTTCTATTAAACTTTGGTGAAAGTCTAGGATTAACAATTCTTTGTGAGTCAATTATATGAATTTTAAATAATACATAAATATTCTTCCGTTTAAAGCTCTTATAAGAAGGGGTAATCTCCATGATGGTATAAGCTTTATAAGTCAAAATTTCAAGGTAAACAAATTATTCAATGGATACTAGGGTATGGTTCTTCCTTCTTTTTGCAAGATGATTTAATAGGTAATGGATCTCTTGATTCTTTTTTATACTCATTCTTTATCCACATTGAAGGTCTATGATTTTATTTTGAATGACAATTAGTGTACTAATATTTTTATTCATCACATTCCAAAGTTTGTGGCTCATATTATTTGTGAAATTCCTATCTACAATTGCACTAAAAATCAACCTATTTTCAAGTTTTCTATTAATGATGACTTTTTCACTAAAATTGTGTTGAATTGCTTCAGAACTAAAAATAATTACAATTCAATTTTTCACAAAATCTAAAATTCATCTACTCTTACTAATATCTCTATTTTCACATCGGGAATTCTTAATGATTTGAGCCCTGTGGATGATAAATTGAAGAATAAAGGGTTTTATATTACTTCTAAATATCAATATCATTTTCATTTGGAGACTATCTGTAATAGTCTAAACTCTTAACTATCAAGATATTGATCTCTTTAGCCTAAGGGTCTCATGTCCTGTTAGAGTAACTTTCCAAGAGGTTAGTCATGCCATAATTTTTTTTGGATGAGCACGCTTAATTACATAGTTTTTTAAATAAAATTTCAACCATTACACTAATAGATACCTCAATATTTAAGAGTTCTTTTTTTACTTAAGGGATTTCACAATCTCCTCAACTAAATAATTAACGTCTTCATCAGCATATTTATCCTAAAATTATCCATCAAATAAATTGGATTATGGATATGGCCCCTGCAAGTTCAATTGGTGGCTTCGATCATGTAACACTTTCTCTCATATAAGGTTCAAGAGGTGACTCTCATGGCATGACATTTTGCCTTGTGTTTCACTTAATTCCTATATTCTAATTGGTGTATTAGTTTGATACCATTTGTAACTGTTCAAATTCTTAACTATCAGTATATTACATATTCTAGTATAAGGGCCTCAAGATTTTGTCCTATTCGTATAACTTTTTAGGAGGTCATCCATCCCAAAATTTCTCCAGGATGAGCATACTTAATTATAAAGTTTCTTAAATGAAATTTTAATTATTATACCAAAAGGTACCTTAACATTTTAAATGAAATTTCTCCATGCTGATGATGTTGCTGGATAAGGCTTCTATGCCTCATATTAGGTATGGGTGATTTGTTTGGTTTTTTTTTTTTTGTTCTGGCTCTGTTTTGTTGTGGTTATCTGCTGATTCAGTTGGGGTTTTGGTTTTTTTGCTCTGTTCTGTCTGGTGGCTGTTTTAATTGTGCTGGTTTTTTACTACTTGGTTGATGTGTTTAGAGTGTTAGCTGAGCAGTTTTTGGCTGTCTACTGGATGGTGATGTTTGTTAAGACTGGCTGGTTTTTGGATATTGTTGATCTGTTTCATGTTTTGGAGAGGCTGGGTGCTGGTGTTGGTGTTGCTGGCGCTTTGGGGGCCTGGGTTAAGTGGTCGTGGTTGGGCTTTGAAAGTTTTGTTTATGTCAAGCTTTGGAACAAGTTTTTTCTTCAGGTTATTATGCTGTTTTTGGTTGGGTGTTGTAGGTTCTGGTATAATACTTAGGATTTTGGATTTTTTACTGTTATCTTTTTATATGTTGTTCTCACGGTTTTTTTGAGGATGCCTTGCATGTACTTATACAGGTGGAACAGGAATGATCGCAAGGTATGTTTTTTGTGTTTTTGGCATTTCTTTTTTCTATATATTGTGCCTTTTTGCAGGAGAGCTGTGCTGAATTAGATGATTGGGGTTCTCCTTTTTTGGGTGCTGTTGACTCACAACCCTTCTTTTAATTTAAGTTATTTTTGTAATCGTAGGATAAGGATCCACCGGCTCATAGTTTTTTTTTTTTTTCTTTTCTTATGTAGCTCTTTTGAGCGGTAGAGAGCTGGAGGATCCTTCTAAGGACCATGTAACCGAATTTTTGTTATCAACGCGTAGGCCCCGCTGTGGGTTTTAACCAAAAAAGAAAATATTTTAGAGTTTAACTTCTTTTATTTAAGTGGTTCCAAACTATCAAGCATATCTTTCTAAATGGGTCTACTGTCATTTCTATTTCGTCTTTTTTGGATAATTCTTTTGGGATAAGCATGAGCTATATTAATATTACCTTTTTTTTCTCTTCTAGCTCACTGTTTTCATAATAGAGCTTGTGGTCATATTTTGACTGTCATATGCTGGTTGTTTGGCTTTTATGGATTGAAAGAAATAATTGCAAGCATCGAGGTATTAAGATGATCTTTGACAGAATCATAACTGCCCTTAAGAAAAAATCATTAATTTTTGTATGCTAAGTTGCTTTCTTCTAAAGCATTTCAAGGGGAATAAAAATTGGATTTCCTTCTTTCGCATTCTTTTGAAAGTAAGTGTTACAGTTCTAGAATTTTGTATTGGAAGAAGCCTTCCTTGTATCAATTGAAATAGACATTGATGGTTCTATTTCTAAATTAGGTGTTGGGTTTGGTGGTTTTGTTAGAGATTATCAAGGTGCTTTGCTATTTACTTTTGTTTCTTGCATTCTTGAATGTAAGGTGATTTGGCTCAAGCAAATGCTTTATTTCCTTGCCTTAAGTTTTGCATTGCTCACAGCCTATCTAATATTTGAATTGAATCTGATTCTCTTATGTTGGTTAATTTAATATCTTCCAAAACATGCAATAATGACAGTTTATATTACTTATTCAGAAAAATTATGTGCCTTCTAAATTAGTTTGATTATAATATTTCTCATATATATTTTTAGAGAAGATAATATATGTGTCGATTGGCTTGCAACAAAAAAAAATGATTGGTGTACGTATCCTCCACTTAATTATATCATAATTTGAATGAGCTTCATGAAGTGAAGGGCATGATGAGACATGATAAACTCGAAATGAATTATATTAGGAAAATGTAATTTTATTTGGTATTTTCTTCAGTACCTGTGATTGAGGTCTCATTTTGTTTTTTGATGGTCTCTGGTTCTATATCCTTTGTTGTTGCTTGTTTGCTATTATCTTTGTTTCTTATATATATATATTCTTGCTATAGGCTATAATATATCTCAATGCTTTCAAATCTCTGCTTGGCTATGTTTTCTAGTTATAGTTGTAATGCTGGCTGGGCTTGCTTTTTTATGCTCTCTTGGTTGTGTACGTGCGAGTGTGCTGGGTGATTCTTCCCGTTAGGCTGTATTGTGGGCGAAATTTTTGCCTTGTCTTGCTTAGTAGTTTTGTTTTTTTTTTCTCTGCTTTTGTTGGTTTCCTTTGTCTTTAGGATGTCTTTCTTTAGCTCTGGTTCATCATAATTTAAATCTAATTTTTACCCCCTTTTTTGTCTTCGATCGATCTTCACTTCTGTAATATTTTTTCTTCTTAATATAGATTGAGCTCAGGCTATTAAAGTTCACGACAAAATTCCTCAACCCATTAACCATACAAATAGCTCTGAAAACCATGCTTTCTCTCCTTAGTTGTAGCATAAGGAGTGGTAACTTTCAACAACCTTTTAACTTCTTTCGTTTGTTGCTGATCGATAAAAATGCCCAGACAATGCAAAAGAGCTCACGGGAATGGCTGTGTGACAACTCTACAATATTACAGAGGACAGATTCCATCGCAAGAGAGATGCTCTGAGAGAGAGAGAGAGAGAGAGAAAGAGAGAGAGAGAGAGAGAGAGAGAGAGCAAGTACCTGAAATATGAAACAGGAAGCTAAGTGATGGATCTAATCAAAGGGATGACATATATAAATGTACCTCATTTCTCCATGGCATCTGTGAAGCTTATCACATGAGTCCTTTCTGACACAGCAGCTCATATCTTTCATTAACATGACATATCAACGACTACACTTTATCACATTACAGGCTCATTTCTCCGTGTTCATGAAAGTGAGTGTATGAACATAAATTAAATTGTCGCTACAACAATGAATATATGGTCACATGCAATAAGAAATTAAGAAATATGTAAGCAAGATGGACAGTGATGAGTGCAACCATGCATGATGGTTGATGGATGTATTCTTGCATGGCATGCTAGCTTTTTTAGTTTTAACCATGATGGCATGCATGGGGAGCATGATCTTGGATGGTTTTTCAAGATATTAATTTACTTCAAATGCAAATGTTCAAATTATTTAAATAAAACAAGCATCTGATTTGGGCAGGTCTTACTAAGTTTCAGGGCTAATTTAATATTTTACAAAATAAAAGTCTTATAAAAATTAGATACCATATAAATATTAGATACCTAATGTTCAACAGCTTCATTAATTTATGAAGATGAACTTTATAAAAACTCATTTTCTTTTGGTTTAGAGGGCATTAGGCAAGCTGTTTTTGATGGTTCTAAAGTCTATTAATTACTTAAGAATTTAAACGTATGCTTTATTTGGGACAACTTTCTTATTATTTTGTAAAGCAATTTTTAAGCATAAAAATATTTCTGAACTAGAAATTTTTCAAACTAGAAAGTTGCTTTAAAAACAATAAGAAAGTTTTTACAAACGAAGTCTTAGCTACTACACATGCATGTAAATTAATTAATCTCTTACTTATTGAGATAATTATAACTTTGCCTCTTTTTTTCTGCTAGGATTATCTTTTCTTAAATTCAATAATGCTTTTTCTTCAATGTAATGCCAAACATTAGAGTTTTAATTTTTTATTTTTGTTTTATTGTTGGGAAAACCTATGAAAGGGCCTAATCGTTAATATCCAAAAAGAGGTTACAAGTCCTTACAGGGAACAAACAATCATTAATTAACGCTGAGAGAGCTACATTCAAAAAGAAAATTAATGCCATATATTAGAGTTAAAATATAAATTGAAGCTAATTTAGAAACTAAGAAGTATGCCGCATAAGCCGAAGCTCTTTTTCTGAAATTGTTTCTTTGATCAATAGCAATTTGAGATCATGCTTATGTCCCCAGTAGCAATTTTTTTAGTGTTTTTTTTAAGCATGTTCTTTGTATTAAAATTTTACTTTTAGATAAATATTATTGTTGAATGGCTCAAATTTATTGAAATAAAAAACTGTTTAAGATACAGTGCAGACTTGCACGAGATCTGAAAATGTAGAGGAAATTTAGAGAGATGGCGATCTCAAAATGTTTTTACTTGTGAAGCAACAGTGTGGCTTGATTGTTTAATGGAAATACATATCAAGATTAATTGGAGAGCATTAATTAAAAAAATAATAAATCATGCAAGTTTCGCACTGAGGTAAGATGTTTGATATCACTAAAATTCAAGTCTTTTTTGTTTGTTTTTACTCATATTATGATCCAAATACTTGAATATAAGTCTAAAAAATGTACAAAATTAGGATGTTCATAATTGGTACCCTGCATAATATAAATATTTTTATAAAATGCTTTAAACATATATATCTTAAGTAACTTTTTTTTGGTTAAAACCCATCCACAAGCTAACGTGTTAATCATCATAAAAAATACAATGTCCTTAAAGAGACCTCCAACTCTCTATGGCTCGAACGAGCTAAAAAAAAGTTCAAAAAATACCTATGAGTCAGTGGTCTCTACTAATCACAATAACAAAGCAACCTAATAACATGCTAGAGCGGCCATAAGCCATCACCAAAAAAAGTCCAAAAATAGCGGTTAAGCTCAGCCTCACTCAAAAAATGAACATGCTCCAAATCCGACAATCCACCATGTAATTGCAAACCATAAAAGAAAATTGCAAACAAGCCTCACTAAGCTTTGGCCAGTGTAATTTCCTTAATTTTTCGGAAGCATTATCAAGCTCAAATATGAAGCTGTTCAGTAATATATTAGCCAGAAGAAAAACAAAGTAAACAAGTAGAATATATACAGCACAAGCCTGAGAAATACTGCTACCTGCCTGAAACTTCAAACTATGCAGGTAGTAAACATACATCAAAACTCAACATGTTGATCTATCAGAATGCAACATTACAAGAAATTCAGGCCATGAACCGTAGCTTTTCTTCATGAAAAAGTTGATATGCATGGAATAACTTTCTTGAAAGAAAACCGTTGCTTTTCTTCTTGAATTATTTTGATTTTTAACGAATTTGATGCTGAATAAAAGGCCAACAGGTTGGCAGATTATGAGAGGTCACCAAATAGGCGGTTGGCCAGACTTTCTTCTCCACTGTATTCTTTCCATTATTTCTTCCTGCCTAGCTTTGCTTCTTCAGGCTACTTGATTGTCTGTCGTCCTTCTGCATGGTAATTATTACAGATGTTGTGACGTTTGAGAAAGTGTGTTCACGGGAGCTAGCCACATAGGAAAGAAAGCAAGACCCTTCTGTAAAGGATAAAGCATTATTAAAGGAAACATGTTAAATTTGAGAAGAAATCAAATCCTATCTAGATAAAGAAAGCAAAGCAAAACAGCTTTACGTGGTGAATCATGCATTATATAACCAATGTACGTAATAATCATAGAGCCGTATCAGAAGGTCGATGAATCATATAGGCTTGTTTACTATTTCTTAAAGCAATTTTTTTTATACAAAAAATTTAATATTTATATTAGAAAATTGTTTTATAAAACAGTAAGAAAATTGTCCCAAACGAAGTCATAAACGCATACAACTTGGACGCCTTACCAAACACATCGTGGTATCGGTTAATATAAAATGCTGAAGTCGATAACAGGTGTCGTAAAAGTCCTATAATCTGAAAATAATATTAACAAATTGAAAGTTCAAAGCAAAAGTGAAGCTCTAGCCATCGTGTTTTTCTCTTGGATCTTGTGACAATGTTGGAACTTTATGATTATCCTTGCTTCCAAATGTTGAAAATTAAAATTAATTTTGGCCCATTGTTATTTTGGGCTTTTAATTAAAGCCCATATTCTAGAATAATCTAGTGGAAGATACTAGGAACCTATTCTAGAGTAATTCTTTAAAAGAAAGTCTAAAATAGCATTTGATGTCATTAATGATAGAAGATAGAAATGTGTTGACATAATTCTAATGGGGTACTGCTAATA